CTTGTCCATGTGGAGGTAAATAGCAAGAGATTTCTAGGAATATGCTAATGTACAGGATCGCTATTAGCTGGATGTTGTATGCAATTGCAATTGATACATACAATTATCTTTATTAAAATTTTACGGTTCACTTACATCTTATGCTCCAAAATGGGCTAGTGTTGATTATTGTATCCTGGTTTTACTTTTAGAATGTGTATTTCCCAGCCTGTCTTGGAACACTTGACAAAAAATACATATTATGGCAATACACACAGTAAATATTTTGCTTTAGTGGATATGATTCTGTGTCAGTTGCCTTTTGATTTCACCTGCGGCACCCTAATGTTCTATATGCATGCCTATAAACGCTGCTTTACTGGTGTGACTAGTATGAATCAGAAAACCTTTTTTTCAGTGCAACCTTTGTTTTTCTAACTGTAAACTCCCACAGTCATTTTAAATGGTTCTGGATTAAAAGTCCACTCTGACATATGTGCTGAAATAAAGCTTTTCCTATATTGAACCAGTCATGTTCATGAGACTAGGCAGAATCACAAGTTACATTTTTCAGAAATCAGTAAAAATTAACTCTTGTCCTTCCTGTTGGTGGAAATGGGAAGTGCATTTTTCTACTGCAGAAATAGCCATAGGGGTCTTCTAGCACCCTTTCCACAAAGCAATAGGTGACTGAGCCACAAGGCCTCTTCACATGCATCTAAAAAAGTTTTTCTCCTCCTCTAGCCCACAAGCACCACTTCCACCTGAACCAGCTTGGGAAGAAAAGCTAACAAGTGTTCTCCATCTAGCTGGGGAAGACTTCAGGGAGTCTTTGAAGAAGAAGAAGCATGCCCTTGTCATGTTTTATGCCCCATGTGAGTTGATGTGTCTGTTTACCATATAGCTTTTGTGTAGCTTCTGAAATCCTGTGCTTTTTGTATATACTTTTATAAAGAGTCGGTATCTGAAACAAACCTCCAGATCTGAACACCCTACACTTGTATAACTTCATATCTCATTCTGAATTTTATTGCTTGGACTATTCCTAATATATTTTATGAATCTGTGGGGGGAGTCAGGCTGGGGGAAAGGAACACCTTATAGCTTTCACCCAAAGACTGACAGTATTATAAGGGATCATAAAGGAGACCGATAAATGCACTTTCTGTTTGTTCGTTTTCCTCTGCTGCATTTTATGGCCTATGTAACAAAACAGGATCGCTTATAACATAGCGATGGATGCAGAGGGTCTGGTTTATTAGTATATTACTCCAGTCAATTTGCCGTGGTAGCTCCAGTGAAATCAATGGGGTGAATCAATTGCTAGATAGCCCAAGTCTAAATTCTGATGGAACCATTTCAGGAGTAATCTAAACCCACATTTTGATCTCTACCTGGAATGTGAGTCCAACTTGAGCAACTTCATCAGCAGTTCACCTGTAAACGAGCTCTAACCAACTTCCTTGAGAAGTCAAAGTAAGTCTTCCCAGTGAGATCAACAGAGATTTGGATCATCCCCTTTTGTAAATCAGATGAGCAAGGTGAGGAGAGAGCCAGTTTCTGCTACTGTTTTGAATAACTCTTTCAGAAGTGTTCAGTGCTAGAAATGCTTCCAGCCAGCACTGGTGGTTGGCCTTCTTCCTGATTTGCATTGTGCTGTTTAAATCAGCAGAGGCATCCCTTCCATTTTCAGTATTATTCATCATTCAGTTTAGTCTTGGGGAGGCGTTTTGGTTTGTGCTAGGGGAAGGTTGTTTAATATATTTTTAATATCTATGGCCTGATTTGTTTTAAAAGGGTCTTGACCCTGCCCCCACCCAATTTTGCATGCAAAATACTGTACCATAAGATGACTGTCTCTGCAATTAATGGGTAGCATTTAGCTGTATAATTATCTCAATCAGATTTGTTCCCACACAACTGGAGACTGTTTTTTTGAGAAATCAGGCCCTTAATGTGTAATCAGGCAGGAAAAACAGCTCCTTATTTAACTTTTCTGTAAGAAAATTAAACATGAATGCATTCTGGGCTTCTGTGAAGCCCTGCTGGATGTGGGTCGCAGAGAGAAGGGAATTCCTAGGAGGCTGTAAAAGAAAGGGGAAAGAGATTTAATCCTTTTTCAACTCCAGTTCCCACTACCTATTGAGTAAAAATTGCCCCTGTGCCAGGAATTTCTGATACATGGATCCCTATTGATTAAGAATGCAATGTATTTGCTTTTAAAATAAATGTAATAGTAAAATTAAGGTATATGCCATCGTTCTCTCCAGCTAGTTCATTTTCCCCGAGCTTTCCAGTGTGAACAGTATCCATGGAGAGGGCAGAGATTCTTCCCCCAACCCACACTGTGCATGTGTGTGACTTTCTGATCCTCACATCACGCTAACAAAATTTAAATTCAATAAAAACTATTAAAAAGCATTTAAAATATTTAGTTGTAACATCACTAAAGGCATGTTTTAGAGAGTTATTAATATGCAACTCCAGTGATCGAAAGCGTGTGGCTGGTCACTGATAATTTTATTTGTGTTTGGATAATACCTTACGCCATAAGAAGTCTGACTGAAGTCAAGAGGGCTACTTGTGAAATAAGATACAGATCTCATTGTGAGCAAGGGTGTCACAATCTGGCCTTAAGTGTGTTATTGGGTTGGCATCAATCAATCAATGCTGTTTGATACAGTTGGATTACTTTTTACCCAAAGTGTGTTGTAAAGCTACATTCCAAGTGGTACCTGAGTCTGCAGAGAGGATAGATTGATTGATGTTTGTTAAATATCCTGATGGGACTTTTTATGATTTTGGGCACTCTAAACTAGGTTTTCCTTTCAAAAGAAGATATGCAAATTCGTGCCGAATTTGCATATCTTCCGATTGCTTTTTCGAAAGAGGCTTTTTTGAAAAGGCAAGCAGTCTAGACATGGTTCTGGAAAAAAAACCAACCCTTTTTCTAAAGAATCTTTCTTCCTCAAAAAATGAGGCTTACAGTGTACTTTCGAAAAAGGGTTTTTTCCCGAAAGAATCACGTCTAGACTGCTTGTTTTTTCAGAAAAACCTCTTACTAAAAAGGGATTGGAAGAAGATATACAAATATCTTCTCTCGAAAGAAAAATGCAGTCTAGATGCCCTTCAAGAGTAACTGAATTTCTACCCAGTTTCCTATGTCCAGGCTGTCCAGTATTTCAGTAAATTTTTTTGTTTAATGTGTGTCTGCCTGTGTGTGGAGGGGGTGTGTACACATGCACGCAGCAAGCCTGCACTTAGTTAGGCGTGGTGGGAAAGAACTGATGAATATTTTAAATCTCTGGTTGCAGTAAGAATATTATTAAGGAAACAGAACAGTACAAATTATCCTATACACAGTTGGCCGCTTTTCTGCACTGACAATGTGCCTTCTGCTAAATTCAATAGATTATCTTTTGTTTACCATTTCCTCGATCATGGGATTTGTCTGTGCTCATGCTTGCCAATTAACGTTAACTTGCTTATTTTAGTGCAGAAGGAGCACAGCTAAAATTGCTAGGCCTCATTAGATCAAATAATATTCTTTCTCTATTCAGCCCCACATCCTAAGGTAAAGGCAATCCATTTGTATGTTACTGTATTCCAGAGGTGGGCAAAAATTTTTGACGGGGGCCCACTCCAAGATTTTGGAAAGTGGTCGAGGGCCGCACTCTTCTTTGCTATTAATGGAGGAGATGTGGGGTCTGGGATGGAGGTTGGGTGCAGAAGGGAGCTTGGGGGTAAGGGACTGGGGTGCAGAAGGGAGACTGGAGTCTGGGAGGGAGTAGGGATGAGGCAGGTGATTGTGACCTAGGACAGGGGACTGGAGTGCAGGGGTTTGGGATGTGACGTAGGGTAGGAGACGATTGTGATCTGGGGCAGGAGATTGGGGTGCCAGATCTGGGAGGGGGGTATGGGTGCAAGAGGGGGACAAAGGGTTTGGGGGATGCAGAGAATTGGGGCAGAAAAGGGCTGGGATGCTAGAAGCAGGTAGTGGCCAAGAGACTTACTTGCCAGCTGCCAAACTAGCTGCGTTTTTGCACAAGGATGCAGGGGAGCCTGCAGGCCTGCTATATTTTGCCCAGGCCTGCTATATTCAATGAGTGGTCTATAAAGGGGCTTGTATAATCATAATAAATAATAATTATTATTAATGTTGTTGTTATTAAGTTTTTATAAGAATTGTGAACCTCTTACATGATTTAGACTTTGGATCTAAGTCTGTAGGTTGAATGTTCTGATCTTTCTAATGCTTTCAGTTAGACGAATAAACCTCTAGGCAAAGGCTCAGGCATTTCTGCCTTTTGGAAATAATTGCTTGCATTATAACCCAACACACTTACTACGTATATAGGAATCTCTTCACTCCTCAGAAGTACAGCCACCTGTGGGATGGGAATGCAGCAGTGTCTGAATAGCAGCAACCTTTGCAGTATTTTAAACCAGGAAATGAGGCGTATTGAATTGGACCAAATCTACAGGGGGAATTTAGGTGGGCAGTGCAGAACTCCCCCGTTAAGAGTGTGGCCAGGACATGCAGGCTAAGACCCTTATGCTTTCAAAAAGTGCCATCAGCTCTTGAATGATTCTGAACGCATACCCAAGCCCCTTGAAGTCAATGGAAAGACTCCCAGTGATCTCAGTAGACTTTGGATCAGGCTGTATTGAGGAGCAAGGTTTTATGTTTCATCCAAAAGATGGCACTTCTTGCAGTGTAATGACCCCTAGTCTATGGGCTGTTAGTCATTATTGAGTCAGTGAAGGTGCCCCACCCACTATAGAAACAGTGCTACTTGCAGTAACTAGGTTTTCACTCATTTTCCATCCTGGTATGAAGCTGATCCAACTCAGAGCAGTGTGGTTCTATATGGCAGTAGGCCGTATGGCGACACGTGGCCTTATGGCTGCAAGCCCTTTCAGCAGCCAGTTGGCTATAACATAACATGTTGGCATTGACGTGTCCCTACTGTCGCACAATAAACCGTGCACGATAAAAATCAGTTGCTGATTAGCTGTCAGTGTCACAAAGGTCAAACGGATTGTCACAGAGTATCATGTCAGTTGGGGGAATGTTTTGCTGGGTAACGCCCAGTGAATCTGACAAGTATGGGTCCTATGGTTTATTCCAGAGAATAGCTTTCTGGAATGATCTTCTAGTTAGGATTTCTATTAAGGGGTTTTCTGCAAATATGAAAGTGTTTACAAAAGGAAAAATACACCCAAGACCATTTTTTTTTCTTTCAAACAGAAATATCGTTCTTTACAAGATGAAAACTAGCATGGAAACACTTTTCTTTATGGATTATCATGGAGGTCAACATACACCTCCAAGAAGATTTTTATAGGAAAGAATCAACCAGACTGGGAATGGGGTTGGCTTGTGATGGTATAGTCTTAGATCTTTGGCATTATTTTTTTTATTGGTCAGTTTTAGTGCAAGGGTTTGGTGTTTTCCAGACCAATTTGATTTCTTGTCTTAAAAAGTACGAAGAAAAACACTTTAACAAATATGTCTTGCCAGGTGAAACAAGAAGTAATAATGAAGGGGGAAAAAAGTTCACTGTTCCTTTTAGTAGCTTGTAAGGATGGTTGTTGCCAATGCTATTAACTTCCCAAATGGCTTCAATTTGTAGGGCTCAACAGCATTCACAGAATGGGCATTTTTAATAGGTAGCTGAGAGCTGATTTCCAGTTTTTGCTTGACTAATCAGCAGAGAAACTTCAATTTAAGCTCAAATTATTATTGTCTGCTGCTCAGGTTCATTCTTTAGTAGTGTTGCAGCGTAACCCACGGAGGGTGAGCAAAGATGACCCAGTATTAATATCTTATTAGGGACCACACTCTTCTAGAAAAGTTAGGCCATTCATCTCT